GTTATACACACGTCATATGTATACATCTGATACAATTCAGATCACCTTCAAAACTCAGTCACACACCCAGGGCAGTTTCAAGACATTTTGGGGGCCAAGGAAAAATGACCCCCCCCCCCCCCCCCCCCCCCCCCCCAACTGGGCTCCCCAGAAGCCTCTGTGTAGTTCATACCCTCTCCAGGAGTATTAGTTATACGGTGTTTATAAAAGCCCCTCAGACATCACTGACATGTTCTAATGTTATCAGATGAAAAACTAAATTATCAGACATGCTGTCTCATCTGCTTCTTTTCTAAACTTGTAAAAAGTAACAAAACCATTTGAAAGCCACTATTTGTGGATTCTCTGAAAGTTTCCAGTGTGACAACTTATTTTTTCACTGACCCTATCATCTAATCTCACAGCTGAAACAAGCATCCTTAATAATCTGTGCACAGGAAGCTTACCGATGCTGCAGTAAAACAAAAGGTATAATAATTTATTATTAATAAAACCTTGTTGCAGCACTAAAGCAGAAAAATGAGATTTTGCAATAAATATACAAAATATTTACATATGAATTGTTTTAGAGCCCTTTTATTGGCAAAATCTGATATTAATTTTAGTTCTTACAAAAATGGGTCCCAACATGGTTTGTGTGGCGTTGCCATAGTGTGACGTCATAGGCACAGATCCCCTGTCCTCTTTTTTGGAAATGGAAATATGGTCACCCTATATTAAACAAACTGTCCACCCGGGCTTTTGCGCTGCACAGAGACGCTTCGCTGCCTATGACTTTACGTCAGATGAGAGTCAGTCTCATGCAGACTGACCAATGAAGAGAGGGCCTCAAGTGAAGACCCTCTCCTCATTGGTCAGTCCACACGAGGTGGGTCAAAGGTTACCCTGAGTGTGTTACGTGACGTCAGGCATTCAAGTATTGAGTATATACATATTACAGTAAAATATTCTGTATGTGACCATGTTATGGTGATCCTTGGGTCATGATGATGGGGCCCTTTAATATTGTTGCCCAGGGTACAACAAAGTGTTAATCTGGCCCTGTCAGCTATGCAAAGCTTCCTGTTAGTGGGAAGGATGGAACCAGTCTGCAGGGTCCAGAAGAACACGTGGTCCAATGACAGAATGTATCTGGGTTTACTTGGGCTTTTGGTGCAGGAGAATTGTGTGGGCTTCAGAAATGAAATCTGTGCTGTTACAATAAAGCTCTCCTTCCCCGTTTCCTTACAGAGGAACCTGAACAGGAAAGCCTCGTTTTCATACTTCTCTATCAATCAAAACAATCCAGCTCCTCTCTCTCGTGCCTTTCCTGCTTGCATCGACAAATCGGAGCGAGTGAAAGCTGGCGTGCTGAAGGGGTAAATAGGCTTTTCTTGTATGTGGCGACTAGCAGGCTTGTGTTGATGACTACTGGAATTTGTGCGAGTGCCAGGGTAAGCCATGACCGCCCACGGGAATCCGAAGACTGCCCAAAGCCACAGGAACCACCAGCAGATTTGCTGCTGCTCCTCCTTCCCTCCCTGCTTCCTCCCCTCCCATCCTCAGAGGTTCAATGTTGCTCCACAATCCAGACAACATGTGGACTTCAAACGTTCACATGAGCCTCACACATTCCTGTTGGCTTGTGTTTTGAGGTGGTTCACCTACAGGGGAGAGCTCTAACTCCCATCTAAGTGTTGGAGCGATGAATCTGACTGGCAGTGGCGTGTCTTGGACTTTAAAAATGGGGTGAGCCAGGTGGGGCCTTTTGTTTATGCATGGGTGGCCCCTATGGTTAAGCTGTTTTTTTTTTGTTTGTTTTGTTTGTTTGGAAAATTGAGATGAATTAGAAATATTTTCAGTTTTTTTAAATCTCAAAGAACACTGAGACAGTAATGAAAGAGAATGGGGAGAGGAAAAGAAAGAGGTGAGGGGGAAAAGTTCTCAAAAATAGCATGTACACGAATCTGCTTCTAGACCTGCAGAAAAAGGACACAAAAATACAACAGAACCAAAATGTCACTGCACCAACAACACCGGGATACATAACTGTAACATTTTTGTTGCTGAAAAGCTCACAGTAATAATTCATAGTGCATTTAGTGCCAACCACAGCCTTAGGTTATGTGTTTACAAACACCTGAGTCCACACTTGTGAGAGCACCTGTGTGCGTACACACGCTTGTGTATGTAAGGTTTCTCTATTGGAGTGTTCAATAGTGAGTGTGAGACGCCACAGACCTGGCGCCAAAGATCTGCGGAAGATGGAGATCTAAGCCCCTTCTTGGTGCATTACTGCCACCAACTGGAGTTGAGTGGGAATGGGACGGGGATTCTAAATACTATTTATGTCAACTCGAAAAATAAACAAACAAATAAAAATAATACGGAAATTATCTCTTGGCTTGGGAATGGAAAAGGGTACATGCTTCCATCTACTGGTTCAGAGTTTATAGCCACAAGCTTTTTGTGGATATTGGTGGGGTGGACGATCAGATCCCAGGGCTGACATGTGCTACCCCAGGCCACTCCCTAGACACGCCTCTGCTGACTTGTTTTTTTATTTCTCTTCTCCAGACCCCTTTTTAGAGGGAACTCAGATGTTGATCAGCTGGGGAAGATATTTGAGTAAGTAATGAATAGAAAGAGAGCACTGTGAATCCTGCTGGATTCTGATGGTCTCCATGGTTCCACAGCGTGGTTGGGGTACCTTCAGCAGAAGACTGGCCCCAGGAAGTGGCTTTACCACAGAGTGCCTTCACACCTCGACCCCCAAAGCCAATAGAAGACCTGGTTCCTGAGATAGATGAGCAAGGACGAGCCTTGTTACTGGTTAGTTTATTTTTATTATCTGTTCAACACGGATGAAAATGGAAGCATCAGTTTTTCTGACTCGTCTTCTCTTCATCTCTACAGCAGTTCCTGGCCTTCAACCCCTCCAGGAGAATATCAGCATTCGCCGCGTTGACTCATCCGTACTTTCAAAGCGTGGACAGCCTCAGCCGAAGTGTGTACATGACCCAACCCATCCCCACCAACAAGCCCACTATGGAGGAGAGGACGGCCTGACGCTCCCCCTCTACCTTCAGTCATCCCAAACATGTTTGGTTTGCAAAAATTAATTCAACAATTAAGCTTTTAGACACTGATGTAAGAAATAAAATCTGATTGAAAACAAATCCACCGGGGCCTTCGATGTTCTGTTAAACACATTAAAGGCTCTAACATGATATTTGGATAGATTTTAGTTATTTTATTTGCCTTTTAACAGCTGCATCAGTGAAAAGTAGTTAACATGAGGATGTTTACATCACTGCCTTTTGGTGTTTGATGGGATTTGTTTCTTTCAGATTTTTCTCTGGTTTTTAGTGTCAAAAATTCAGTTGCTGTGTTCAGTTGAACGCAAAACGTACTTAAATGAAAGGCCTTTTTGTTTTTGTCGATGCTTCAGAAAAGACTGAGCACAGGTGTCGTTAGGGCACAAAAACTGTCCTTCACTGAAGCGATGGATCAAATTTGCTGCTTTTAGGTTGAATCATTTTGACTGTGTAACAATGCAAAAACACCTCCGACTATCAGCGTGACTTGTAGTCGGAAAGCCAGGCGGCCTGTGGAGGCCATCGGCCTCTGACCAGTGTTTCGACCTGTGAGAGTCCTTGAAGCCTGGAGGACCTGGAGAGGAGTCTGCGTGGATCTTACCTGCCTTCAAGCTCACCGTGGAACACCGATATAAGCATGTTCCTGTAAAGACACTGCAACATCACCAGGACTAAGCCAGCCAAACACTGCCAAGCTCTCTGTCACTCCAGTTCTACTCACTGCTGCCACCTTGTATATTTAAAGAGGAACTGCAAACAAGCCTTTAGCAGGATTCTAATGGTTGCTGTACTCTTGGAGGATTTCTTGATGAACCTGGTGCTGAGACAATGGTCTAAGACTTCTGAATTATCCTGCCATTTATTTTAAGACTTTTTAAAGTCCGTTTACTCTGAAATCCAGTCAATTACAATCCAGTTGAGAATTTAATGCGCAGGTTTGCAATTGGAGAAAAGTCCCACCAGGATGATTCATCATTAAAACATTTGGTAAAGTTCTGTCACCATTCTGTATTTAATTTTAATGTTCTCGTTACTTGATTGTGTTGTTTTCGATACTGGAGCATACTATATTCTTACACCACAGACACCAACTATAGATGGTAGAGTTTGTGTGGCTATACTTTGGTACTGTACTGTGCTAGCTGCAGTGATAGAAACCTGGTTAAAGAGGGTAGCGTAGAGAGGAATGTGGTATGATGGGTGGATGCTTACCAGGAGTGTGGCGGAGCAACTTATAGTAGTTTCGTACTGAAGTCATGCACACGTTTTTTTTTCATGATTTTTGCTGTTTTATCGCAGTTCCGTTTCTACTAGCAAAACAAAAGCAATTTATGCAGAAGCGTTTTTATGTGTTGTAGTTCTTGCAAAGCAGTAATATTTTAACACTGGTTCTTTACAGTTAGTCCTATTAGCACACACAGACTTCAACTTTCTCAGGTTCTTTTTTTTTTTCTGGACGTCCAAACCTTTCGGGCACAGTTTGCACAACTCTGGGCTACTAAACATTCACAACGTCTTAATGTTTGTTTGTTTTTCCAACTGTCTTTAATCAAGGTTTACTGGCATTACTATTTATCAGAGTTATGTTACTGTAGTCATTACTGTTTGATGGTAACTGCCTTCATAGACCGTTATTACCAGTGATGCTTTATTGCTGCAAGGGAAACAACTTCCTGCATAACAACCCTGAGTTCTGTTTGTGTCTAATGCTGCGTATGGAAACGCTATAGAAATAGTGGTTTACAATATAAACACCCACTTTTTTACTATCATTACAGTCATTACAACCACTCTGTACTTATATGATTCAAGCATTTTGTAACACATTTCAGTCCAATAACAGCTTTTATATTTTAGCAGTGTTTTGATACCATTATGGCCTAATACATCGTATCAGTACAGTTCATGTATGGATGCATTAGTGTTATTATATTTTTGCTGCACCAGACAAATAAATAACTTTTTTGTAAACAAATGTTTTTCGTTAATGACCTGTCATTATTTTTAACTTTCAAGTTCATGGGCAGAACAAGTTGTGATGTCTCCAAAGAACCACAAGAGGACGACAAACGCCAACTAAACAAACCTGAACACCAACTGTCTTTCTGTCAATATAATCAAATCTATGGAACTAGGATTGGGACAATATTACATGTAACTTGTACCAAGCTTTGTAACCTGCAACATGGTTTGCAACTGTAACTTTCATTTTGTAGCATGTAATTCTTGTCTTGTAACACGTAACTCGTTTTGTAACGCATAATATTTGGTATGTTTATGTATTTAGCAGACGCTTTTGTCCAAAGCGACTTACAAGTGATTATCGGCATGTTGCCCTTGAGGCCAACAACAACAATAACAACAACAACATTGACATCAATCATGGAGAGTCGGGAACAAAGGAGTGGACAGTAGAGAGGGGGGATGGGTGCAGGGAGGGTGCTTGTTAAGAAAATGCTCTCTGAAGAGCAGGGTCTTCAGGAATTTCTTGAAAATTGAAAAGGAAGCCCCTGTTCTGGTAGTGCTTGGTAGGTCATTCCACATTAGTGGAACGATGCATGAGAAGAGTCTGGATTGTCCTGAGAGTGGTGTAGGCACTGCTAGCTGACGATCCTGTGATGACCGGAGCGGCCGGGCCGAGACGTAAGCCTTTGCAAGAGGATTCAGGTAGATGGGAGCCGTACCATCTCGGACTTTGTATGCTAGTGCTAGCAATTTGAATTTGATGCGTGCTGCTAGCGGTAGTCAGTGGAGCTCAATGAACAGAGGGGTGACGTGTGCTCTTTTTGGCTGATTGAAGACCAGACGCGCCGCTGCGTTCTGGACCATTTGAAGAGGTTTCACAGTACAGCCTGGAAGACCAGTTAGAAGGGCATTGCAGTAATTGAGGCGGGAGATGACAGTAGATTGCACCAGGAGCTGGGTGGCATGTTGTGTTAGGTATGGTCTGATCTTTCGTATGTTATACAGCGTAAAGCGGCATGAACGAGCAACAGAGGCAACATGATCGGTCAGGTGTTCTGCAATCACAACACCCAGATTTCGAACTGCCTTTGAAGGAGCCAGAGATGGGAAGTCATTTTGGATTGAGATATTGTGCTGTAAGGATGGTTTTACTGGGATGACAAGTAGTTCAGTTTTAGAGAGGTTGAGTTGGAGATGGTGGGATTTCATCCATTTTGATATGTCAGAGAGACAGTTTGATATTCGTGCAGAGACAGTGTGGTCGTCCAGTGGAAATGACAGATAGAGCTGGGTGTCGTCTGCATAGCAGTGGTAGGAGAAGCCATGTGATCGAAGGATCTCACCCAGTGAGGTATATGGCAAAGAGAAGAGGTCCTAGTACAGAGCCCTGGGGGACTCCTGTGGCAAGATGGTGCATGGTAGAGGATTGTCCAAGCCAAGTTACACTGAATGATCGTCCTGTGAGGTATGATTCAAACCAGGCGTGTGCTTTCTCTGTGATGCCCATGCTAGAGAGTGTGGACAAAAGGAAGCCATGGTTGACAGTGTCAAATGTAGCCGATAAGTCGAGCAGGATAAGCACTGAGGATTTGGCAGTCGCTCTAGCTTCTTTTAAGGATTCCGTCACTGCTAACAGAGCAGTTTCAGTGGAGTGGCCCTTTTTGAACCCAGATTGGTAAGGGTCAAGCAGACAGTTTTGTGAGAGGTATTCTGTGATCTGCTTGAAAGCCACCCTTTCAATGATTTTGGACAGAAACGGGAGGAGCGATAGTTAGGTTGTTCTCCACATGATTTGGAGGAAGAGATGTTTTTTTTAGCAGCGGTTTAACCTGAGCATGCTTGAGAGAGGTGGGAAATGTACCGGATGTCAGTGATGCGTTGATCACATGTGTGACTGCTGCAGCTACTGTAGGAGCAATAGCTTGGAGCAGCTTAGTCGGAATGGGGTCGAGTGGGCATGTAGTAGGGTAGTAGGGCGGCTGCACGTGAGAAGCTTGGACACACAGTTATCAGTGAGGGGAAAAAGAGGAAAATGAAGCAATAGGGCTTGAGATGGTTGGGCTAGAAGGAGTTTGTGGTATTGAATGTTCAGGAGTGGCCAGTTGAGTAAACTGTTTGCTTATAGCTGCCACTTTGTCAGTGAAGAATGAGGCAAAGATGTCAGCTGATAGATTGTTGGTAGGAGGTGGAGAAGGAGGGTGAGCAGAGTTTTGAATGTCGAAAATTGTTTTTGAGAATCAGTAGAGCTGAGAATTTTGTCAGTGTAGAAAGCTTTCTTTGCATCAGTGATGCTGGCAGATATTTAACATGAAACTTTCATTATGTAACTTGCAGAAAACACTCGATGTACAAGTTTCAAATCACAACTCTCAAAACACACTTCTCTGTCTTTAGTTACAAAACTTAAGTCTACAGCTACAAAACTCAAGTTTACAAGTACAAAACATTTTTTCCCAATTCTAACTTCCTTCCCAAAGAACCAGTGACAGGCTTTATCTGACCAGCCAATCATGAGTCTTGGATTCCTGTCGAAGACAATTCCTGTTGGAAGCGAGCTAGAATTGGGACAAAATGTTTTTTACTCGTAGACTTGAGTTTTGTAACTGTAGACTGAGATTTCTGTTTTGAAAGTTGTGATTTGAAACTTGTTTATTGATTTTTTTTTCTGCAAGTTACAAAATAAAAGTTTCATGTCAGGTACCAAAGTTACATTTTACAAAATAAGAATTACATGCTACTAAACTAAAGTTATATGTTACGTAACAAAAATTGCTTGTTACAAAACATGAATTACATGCCTCAAAACAAAAGTCACAGTTGCAAAACATGTTACAAGTTACAAAACTTGGTACAAGTCAAGTTTAATATTGTCCCAATCCTAGTTATACAAATCAGGCTCTGAACCATACTGTTTGTTTGTTTGTTTGTTTGTTTGTTCGTTTATTTAGGTCCTCATTAGCTGCTGACATACAGCCGCTATTCATCCTGGGGTCTCATCTCATACAATCAATACATTTTATATGCATACACATATTGTGCACATCATTCATACATATCCATACACACACACACAACTAATTTAAACATAAATTGCAGTATAGAAAAATCACAATTCAATTCTCAAAAGACCAAACATACTCATTTCGAAAGATGTTTAGCTTGACATTATCTTTGGGAAAATAAAAATAGTTGGAGTTTTTTCTGAAAACATTTTTTTATCACTTTCCTCAATAGAAATCCTGGTAGTGCATTCCATAGCACCGTTGCACGATAAACCAGTTTTCTGCATTTGACTTGTTCTGCACGCAGGTAACACACATCGTCCATGCATTCTTTTACTTGTGGAATAATTGTGTTTATCCGCAAAAAAAGACAAGGTACAATAAATTACGTCTGGGGTTTTTGTCGTAATGATATTTCTAATAAACGTTGTTAATGTAAACTCCAGTCTCTCTCTTAGGTCAATTTATTGTTCAACAGATTTACACTGGTTCTGTATGGACTCCCCAATACCATGCGCACTGCCTTGTTTTGGGCAATTTGTTACTTATCTAGATTATTTTCATTAGTGTTGGACCAAACCACAGAGGCATACTGTTGGAAGGAAACAAAATACTAAAACGATTGTTAGTATGAGGTTGGAGTTGCTTAGTGGAGTAGCTGATGGCACTGTTGCCTCAGGAAAAAGGCTGAGGGTTTGAATCCCAGCTGCAGCCTCTACATGCATGTGTGAGATTTCACCCATATTCCAAAAATGACCCTTGGATAATTTAAAGTGTCCCTGGTTGAGTGATTGTTGTTTTAGTTTTTTTTTTTATTTCAATGTTTCCTTGTGATGAACTGAAGACCTACCCAGCAGGGAGGAGCCTGGCATTCTGGCTAAATGACAGAAAAATGTGCTGTGCAGTTTAAGAAGTGTTTAACCACAATATAATGAGTATAATAAGAAAAGCTTGAAAACACATTCTATCATGAGAACAAGACACATTAAACACCAGGACTAGATCAGGATTCATCCAGAAAGGATAAAATTCAAAATCCTCTTTATCCCTCCCACTGTCCTAACAGGTGTGAGGAGTGAGCACCACCTCACCCCTGCCACGTGAACCTCAAGGGGTGAACCATCAATCCTGCTCAATGGTCAACTTTCCTCGCGGGGTCACCCATAAAGAGAGTGGGAGGGTTATAGCAACACCATGTAGGCTTTAAGTAGCGAGTTTAGCAAACCTGTAAATGACGTTTTAGGGTCCGTATTATTCAGTATTCCTTTTCAACAGATAGTATGGCTGAATCATTCAGCCTCTCGTCCCATGGTTCTCCTTAGCCACGTGTGGAGACGACGCAGGGCACCAAAACAGCATTCAGCTGCAGCTATTGACAGAGATGGTTAGTGCAATTACAAACTTGTTGAGCAAGTGGAAGACAGTTGTAATGTTGTGAATTTCCTCTTTTTCCATTTACGATGTGAAAAACAGAAAGTCAAGTTCCTCGATACAGAATACGCCAAACATTCAAATGGTTCAAACCAACTCTCACTGAATGCTCTTTGCAGGCTTCCAAACTGGCTCAGTGGACACTGGGAGTATAGATTGTCATGGGCCACTTTCTGTAGTTCCAAGATATTTTCCTGCTCCTTGCAGTAAATCTCTTTCAGCTCTTTGTGTCATTCCACCTGCTGTTTCCTGTTGTGGTGCTGATGTGGTTTGATCTTCCTGGACCTATCTGAAAGATCAGCATGAAGCAGGGGTGTCTAATCTTGATCCTGGGGGGTCCCTGTCCATCATCTGTTTCCCTGCTCCAGATCACCTGTTGAATGGCCTGTTCAGCAGGTCACCGGGCTCTGCAGAAACCTGGTAATCGCTAATTGTTTGAATGCTGAAAAGCATTCAAACTATTGTTTTCAAACTATTGTTTTCCTGTTTCTCTTTATTCTTCCATATTCTGCTTCCGTACACTTTTTGAACCTCTTCTTCTCCTTCAAATTTTCAGCTATTTCAACCATGTTATATC